AAACAGAAAGAGACTATGAAATATATAACGACAAACATAAACCATATCGCAACGTATTCATGTCAAAAATAAAATTAGAATACCAGTTCCTCTATACGCACACACCAACAACCGGGTGGAATGTTCAGGGAACACAGAAGATGAAGGAAACGACACGACAACATAGAGAGAAAGAACCATGATTTGAAAGTATGTTAATGCCGCTTCTTATTGTCAAGCCTATCGTAGTAGGATAGAATAAAATAATTAGAGAGAATATATACACCCTATCAATCCAACCTAAAGATCGAGTAATAAATTAGGATTTACATTTATATGCTCGGTGACTTGCGCCCGAAAACTTTTAGCTTTAGATTATATAATAATTAAATGACAAGATAATATCAATGTATAATATAATCAATTATATAGTTATCTGTTACATGTATCTTTTTGAATATACAAACAAAAGAAAATCAACACGCCATAGACATGAAAAACTATTCATAAAAATCGTAATTCCAATATTACAAATATTGAAAGTTCCTATATCACAAGAACTATATAATTATGTAAATATATAAAAATGAAAACCTTTAGTTTTAGATAATATATAATAATTAAATGAGAAGATAATATTAACATATAATATAATCAAATATATAATCATCTATTACTTGTATCTTCTTGAATATACAAACAAACAGAAATCAATACGCCCTAGACATTGAAAACTATACATAAAAATCATAATTGCAATATTCCAAATATTAAAATTTTCCATATTACAAGAACTACATAATTATGTTAATATATACAAATATATATTATATAATACTTTAAATTTTAACATTACAAATGTAAAACTTTCATATTTTATACGTACTATATAACCATATTGGATATTAAATATATTGGATAAGGATTTCGAATTACAGATATATATTATATAATACATAAAATCTCAATATTACAAATATAAAATTTTCACGTTTTATATGTACTATATAACTATATTGGATATTAAATATATTGTATAAATATTTCGAATATACCAAATTATGTCAACATATACGAATATATTGATTGCTAATTCACGAATCACAAACAGAAACGTATTGATCGATATATATGAATCACATATTTAAAAATATATTATAATAACTGCATCTTTAAAATAAAAAAATAAAAACAAAACACAAAACCATAAAACAGGATCACATGTCCGAAAAAACACCAACACAGTTATTAATCACTAAACAAAATAGGCATCACCGAACCACTGTACCAACGACTTGCCTCCCACAACGCCGCAGCATACTCATCATCATCGTCGACCAAACCCAAAACATGGCATGGATCTTTAAACGTCGGATAAATAACTCCAGCTACTGTCTTTATAGAATCAAAGGATGTCAGACCCTTTACCCTAAGCAATAAAAGTCGCAAATAATAAATCTCTCCAGAAGTATCAGGACAATATGCCAAACGACCCGGTTTGCTACCACCACGACATCTAGGCTTCCAACACTTTTTCTTCCGATCCCACACAAACTTCGCAAAGAACTCCGTATAAGTCAATTGCATTGCATCAGAGTTAACCTTATTACACTTCATCCAAGAAGTAAATTTTAATGATCCTGCGTTGATATTCGCACCAGGAAGATGATACGGTAGAATATAAGTTCCTACAACAGTCAGAATAACAGTAAACAATTTTCACAAATGGCATAAACCAAAACAAATCCAAGATCACAGATCATAAAAGACAAACACACAAAGATATATATGTAAATAACTACAAAACGACCAACTAACTAGTATAACGCATCGTGAATGATATAGAACCCTGCGAAAACATCCAATAAAAAGAAACAATTAAATATAATGCCAAATTTAACACCAACAAACAAAATATCGTACATATCATTGGTATCCAGCAAGGACATGTAATATTACCCCAAAATAATCCAAACGAAGAGATTACGCGGTAAAACGTATCTCACTTAGCGAACAACAACAAAGCGAACAACAATGAATAACCTGCACAAAAGAGATAGACAAACAAAAACTTACAAATTGGGAAAATAATATAGATATACAGACCAACGAAAAAAACATTTCAAACAAAACAATCCACTCTTATTACTTCGAAAACAAAGAAGAGCCGAAAACACAATAAATACATCAAATTTACCTCGATAACCAGAAGACTAAACAACAACTATCAATAGCCTATACAGAGAAAACACAAATGTGAAAACAGCATGAGTTAATGTCATTATAAGAATAAAATATGAATATAAAAAATCACGAGCTATAATCATATAAGACGCTGAGAAAACGATATATATATATAAACATAAAAGAGCAACATATACAAAAACACAATAAATACATCGAACTTACTTTGGTAACCAAGAAAACCAAGCATCAACTATCAACAGCCTATACAAAGAAAACACGAACATGTAAACATCACGAGTTATGACACTGTACACGAATAAAACACGATCACGGAAAATCACGAATTATAATCATATAGCACGATAAGAAAACGATATATAGATATAGATAAACGTAAAAAAGCAACATATACAAAACACAGTAAACACATCAAACTTACACCGATAACTGGAAGACAAAGCAGCAGCGACCAACAGCCTGTACAAAGAAAAGAAGAACAGAAAAACAACACAGGTTAGAATCGTTTATACGGACCAAACACAAATACGAAAACATAACAAACCATAACAATTGAAGACGATAAGAAAGCGATGTAAATATATATAAATATAAGAGATCAATATATACGAAGACAACAAAGTCAACACTAAGAAAGACAAAAACCTAGAAAATGCGATGAACTGAAGTCTAGATTGTGAAAGAAGCAAGACTTTTATACATACTCGGTAACCTAGGGCGACCTAAAAATATGCATAAACGAATATATTCGACTACCATAAAAGACGGTGATTCGAAGAAAGAAAACCATCCTTATCCAACTAACTCATAAAATTGGAGAAAAAAAAAACGTCCTTATCCAGCTAATTCATAAATTCATGAATAAATTCATAAATGAAATCATCCTTACCTAAATAATTCATATATTCGAATATTGGACTACCATCCTTATCCAACTAAATAATAAATTCGAATATTCGACCACCATCCTTATCCAACTAAATATCAAATTCATAAATAAATTCATAAAAGAAACCATCCTTACCCAAATAATTCATATATTCGACTATCATGCAAATCGGCGATTTAAAAAAAAAATCATCCTTATCCAACTAACCGATCAATAAAACTATCCTTATCTAACTAACCAATCAATAAATCTGATCGTTATCAAACTAACCATTGAATCAATTTAGTAAACCGCGAATAACAGTAAACCGCGAATAACACGTTCACTTATAATTAGCTAGTGGATAGTGGTACTAAATGGATGAAAGAATTTCAAACCATCACTACTGCCTAATTTACAGTAAAACCTCTATAAATTAATAATGTTGGGACCTTAAGGTTTTATAAAAATTTATTAATTTATAGTGATTATTAATTTGTAGATATATTATTTGGCTAAAAAATTAATTTTGGAACTGATAAAAAATATTAATTTATCGAAATATTAATGAATCAAGTATTAATTTATAGAGATTCTACTGTATATAGAGCACCATATTACAATTTTAATAATACTACATATCGAAATAAAACAGTTTAAACAAATACTACTTACCAGCTGTGCATTAGCTACCCAACTCTAGTCAACTTTACATTTAACACAATAATTTGAACATAATAATACTAAGTAATAACCAATAGCTGTTACATGAGTTATCCAACTCCATCAAACCAATGCATTAAACTTAAAAAAACATTATGAAAAATTGAATCGATTGTAGTCTTTTTAGAACGAAGTCAGTCGAAATAGTACATGTGTCACAGTTTAGACTCTAAACTTTAGAGACGTCCGAATATAATTCAGTTCTTTCTACTTATGAATTTGACGTGTAGACGAAAAGAACCAAAAGTCGAACTTGTTGTATATTTATTCAACTTTCCATTTTTCTTTTGGGTTCGGTATCTTTGTGACCACATGGTATACAGTTGACACTTACCAGTTTCTTGCTTGACTACCTTACGGAATCAAATACAAAAAATAATACTATAAAATATAATTCAGATGTAACATTAAATTTGAGACTTATGTTTTCATTTAATTATTTTCATAAGTAGGTAATATGGTCAACGAAAGAAAAGGATGGAAACATGTCGCCATCGTGTTTATCTCGGTATTACGCAAATAAATCCAGCTTTATCAGTCAAATAAAGAATAAAAGTCATCACATATTTTCACTTTCACATGAATACCAATATACCATTACCACCATGGCACCATATTCATAGAGTTAACACATGCATATCTTATTAAAATGGTTAAGAATGATTTCATAATTGAGTCATCAAAAAGATGAAATCATATCTATGAATTTTAAATGACGTTAGACGTTAAAATCTCATTATAATTAGAAATCATATAAACTTTGGGGAAATGATTTTATCATGAAACAAATAATTGCTTTCAAGATAAATGCAAATTGAAAAACATACTTCAAAATAGATATACATTCAAAATTTACAGCTTATTTACTAAAAACATCATTCTAAATGATATCTAATTCATTTTATGTCATCATCTAAAATCCTGATTTTTCTGTATGAGAGATAAATGACATTTTTTTTTTCCTTTCACACACAAATTCGACATTATCTAAAGGGTTGAATAGTCATGCGTTTGATATTTTTTCTAAAGTTTGATTTTAAGTATTTGACTTCTATATAGTTTTCTTAATTTCTTAATGACATATATCAAGGTTGCATGAGTTTTAAGCTCCATTTTTTGTTTGATGTCGTAACTTTTATAAAGTTTAAGACCCTTAATGATTATTGTGTACTACATAACCACCCAAAAGGCTTTTTGTTTTTCCTTTTTCTCTTTTGTAGTACTGATGTCAATGTGCGGTACCTAAGAACCCAATGCCCCTTTAAAAATCTTATTGATTTTGAGCTTTCTTCTTCATCTCCAAGTTTGAATAATCACCAAGTTCCATTTTTAAAACCAACTCCAATTTTTGGCTAATTCTCTGGTCTTCGTTCCGTGTAAGCAGTTCCATGTAAGCATTTAATGTTCTAGTCTTGATTTCTTTTATCTCTTTGGGAAGTGGGGTACTGTGGTCTTCGTGTGTAGCTGTGTTATCAACAAGTTACGTTTTTCTCTTCTTCTCCATTATCTTGTTTTCTCCAACGCAACACACATCCACTTTGGTGTTATACATTCACAAATTGGGTTTTAATCAAAAATCTTGTTGCTGTTGTAGAATAATGTCAGATTCTTGAGTATAATCCAAAGTCATTAACTTTTTCAATTAGATCTAATGAGCGAAAAAGATCATTTGCGTCATTTGATTTGATTCTATGGCTTAGCTTTACAGATTATGCAGTAGATTAAAATAATCTCTAGCTTTACCTTTTTTTGTGGCTAAACAACTGTTCTGCTTCAGATTATTTGGGCGTGGAAAGCAACTAAAGTTCTAGACTCTATTTAAAATTCCCAGAATCAAAAAAAAAAAAAAAAAAAAAAAAATTCCCAGAATCGGATTGATCCAAAAGAGGTAGGCTTTTTTTAATCTCTTGTCAGTTTATAACTGGAAAAGGTAAGCTTTATGATTGATAATAAAGAATCTGTCTTTTGGGTTTTGTTTAGAGTCTTGCAACAAACAAACAAAACAGAGAAGAAGAAAAAGATACTCTGTTTTTTCTTTCTGGGGAAAAAAAAATGAGGAGCTCGTTGATGGTGGAGAGAGAGGTGAGAAATAAGATAGAGAGAGAAGGAAACGATGACTTGGAGGAGACGCAAAACGAAGCAGATGATTTCAGGTCAATTCCACCATGGAAGAGTCAGATCACTGTTAGAGGAATGGTTGCAAGCTTGATCATTGGTATAATCTACAGTGTGATTGTGATGAAGCTAAACCTAACCACAGGTTTGGTCCCGAACCTAAACGTCTCTGCAGCACTTTTAGCCTTTGTGTTCCTAAAAAGCTGGACAAAGCTACTCACCAAAGCCGGGATTGTGACTAAACCGTTCACCAAACAAGAGAACACTGTCGTCCAAACATGTGCTGTTGCTTGTTACAGCATTTCAGTTGGAGGTCTGGTAAACTTTTTGATGATGTTTAGTTAGTTTCTTTGGTTTGGATTTATTGCTTAAGCTTGCGTGTTTGTGTGATTTTGCAGGTGGGTTTGGTTCGTACCTTCTCGGTTTGAGCACAAGGACTTATGAACAGTCAGGAACTCACACCGACGGGAATAACCCGGGAAGCACGAAAGAGCCCGGTATCGGTTGGATGACCGGTTTCTTGTTCTTCACATGCTTTGTTGGTCTTTTGGCTTTGGTTCCTCTAAGAAAGGTAAGAGACTTTAAGCTTCGGGTTGGTCCGACCTATATAAGGGTCTTATCCGATTCTAGACTATTAAACCGGGGTTGGCTAGTTTGGTCTGTCACAACATCTCTATTTGTAACCGGTTTGCTAAGTTTCATTATGCTTTTTCTTGTTGGTTAACCAGATCATGATCATAGACTACAAGCTGACATATCCGAGTGGAACAGCTACAGCGGTTTTAATCAACGGTTTCCACACTTCTAAGGGAAATAAAATGGCAAAGTATTAACCCTAATTTTTTCGCATTCTCTTTGGTCACTGCTTCTTGAGTTTCTGTTTCTGATTTGAATAATTTCCTCTGTTTCTCTATGCAGGAAACAAGTGTTTGGGTTTGTAAAATACTTCTCCTTCAGCTTCATATGGGCTTTCTTTCAATGGTTCTTCTCTGGTGGTTCGGAGTGCGGTTTCATTCAGTTCCCAACTTTTGGTTTAGAAGCTTTTAAGAACTCGTGAGTATCATCGTTCTTAGTTCAATTCACTAGACATATATCAACTGATAAAAAAACAGAATCTTGATGATCTTGGAAAAAAACTTCCACAGATTCTACTTCGACTTTAGCATGACATACATTGGAGCTGGAATGATCTGTTCCCACATAGTCAACTTATCTTTGCTTCTTGGCGCTATTCTTTCTTGGGGAGTCATGTGGCCTCTCATTAAAGGTCTTAGCGGAGATTGGTACCCGTCTGCTCTTCCTCAAAGCAGCATGAAGAGTCTCAACGGTTACAAGGTTCTTAACAAGAAACTTCTAATCTACAATAAACTCTCTCTCTCTCTCTCTCTCTCTCTCTCTCTCTCTCTCTCTCTCTCTCTCTCTCTCTCTCTCTCTCTCTTTCGCAACATTTTGTTTACAACTTCTTCATAATCGTACAGGTGTTTGTATCTATCTCATTGATCCTTGGAGACGGGCTTTACCATTTCATCAAGATACTTCTTATCACAGCAAGAAACATATACTCCAAGTTAAACAATCGTCACTCCGAGAAATCTAGTAAGTAAACCTAGTAAAAAAACGTTACCATAATTAAGGTTTTTTTTCTGTATCTGATTAGAGATATGAACGCAGATTCGGAGAAAGATAAACAATCTATTGCAGAACTTAAGAGAGATGAGATCTTTCTAAGAGACAGCATTCCTCTATGGGTTGCAGCAGTTGGATACGCAGCTTTCTCAGTCCTCTCGATCATCGCCATCCCTCTGATGTTCCCTGAGCTCAAATGGTACTTCATAGTCGTAGCTTACATGTTAGCTCCATCGCTAGCTTTCAGCAATGCCTATGGAGCAGGGCTTACAGACATGAACATGGCTTATAACTATGGCAAAGTCGCTCTGTTCATCTTAGCTGCTATGGCCGGTAAACAAAACGGTGTAGTCGCGGGACTAGTCGGATGCGGACTGATAAAGTCGATCGTGTCGATTTCTTCTGACCTAATGCACGATTTGAAGACCGGACATTTGACTCTGACTTCTCCGAGGTCGATGCTTGTGAGTCAAGCAATTGGAACAGGGATCGGTTGCGTCGTGGCGCCTCTCAGCTTCTTTTTGTTTTATAAAGCCTTCGATGTGGGAAACCCTGAAGGAGAGTATAAAGCTCCTTACGCTTTGATTTACAGAAACATGGCGATTCTTGGAGTTGAAGGTTTCTCTGCTTTGCCTCAGCATTGTCTCCAGCTTTGCTATGGGTTTTTCGCTTTCGCGGTGGCGGCGAATATCGTTAGGGATGGGTCGCCGGAGAAGATTGGGAAGTGGGTCCCGTTGCCGATGGCGATGGCGGTTCCGTTTCTTGTTGGAGGGTATTTTGCCATTGATATGTGTGTTGGGAGTTTGATTGTGTTTGTGTGGAATATGAGGGATCGGGTTAAAGCCGGTTTAATGATACCGGCGGTTGCTTCCGGTTTGATATGTGGAGATGGTCTTTGGATTTTGCCGTCGTCGATTCTTGCTTTGGCTGGAGTAAAACCTCCGATCTGTATGAGCTTCATGAAGAGTAAAAATAGCTAGGTCTAAAGAAAATACATAGAGAGATTGATTTTAGAGCATCTGCAATGCAGAACTTCATATTGGGATTCTTAAACATATTATTAATTTAAGTTGAGAGTTCCATTAACTTTTTCTTAATTTTGAGACATATATTAGAGAGATTCTATGGGGTTCTAAGAAATTAGTTTTTTTTTTTTAATAAATTGTTTTAAATTTATAGAAAACCAACATAAACAATATGTAGTGAACTTTAAACATGTTCATTTGCTAAAGGAGAAAGACCACCAACGTAGACCCTGCGAGCATGTCTAGTAGCCTGAAAACACATTAAACGAATGCATTGTTGTGTCATTGCATGAATTGGCATCATATGGAGTTCAACATGCATGTTTGAACAGACCAAAGTCATAGTATCGTCCATATATCCATGAAACTATAACCAACCTACTGTGTCATTGCATGAATTGACATCATATGGAGTCCTCCAAATGGCTACATGACAAAGAAGAAGAAGAAATCAGTTGGAGAAACATGTATCAAAGAATAAGATAATTGTTTTGATGGGTTTCAACGAATATATAATTGTTTTGAGAGCACTCACCTCCCAAAGTCACGGTCTCTGCTTCCACGGTGGTCATCATCATCACCCCTCACACGCTCTCTTCTTTCACCTCGTTCCTCACTCCGATCCCTGTGACGGCTTCTGTGATGTCTTTCTCCATCCCTTTCTTTCTCCATACCTCTATCTTTGCTTCTCTCTCCCTCTCTCCCTCCTCCGTTCATGGTCCATGTCTCTATCTTTATCTTGCCCCTTCACTCTCTCCTTCTTTACTTCGAGAAGAATCCCTCTCATTGTCAAGCATTTCCATCTATACAGCAGTAATGAAGATCAATGCAACTTAAAACCCTTTTACAACCAAAACAAAATTAACACTAAAAGCTAAACCCGAAAGGTCTCTAAAACAATCAAACTATTGCAGTAAACTGCACAATCAAACTAGAAGGAAAACCTCTAAACAAACTTCATTACTGCTGTGAAGTTATAGGAGAAGGAAAACATAAAAACCAGAATCTCAGCAAAATATACAGGAGATCAAATTAATACCATGATCGACATGAGCAATGACAGTCATGTTACGGATGTTGTGTTGAAGGTCCATGATTTTCCGTTGATGTTCTGCTGTGAACTTCACCTGCAAGGTTTAACATGTAGCTTTGAGTACACAACGCGGATTGGATCGCATGGAAAATGAAATAAAATCAATGTAGCATATAGTTTGAAAAATAAAACAGCTCCCGCACAAGTCTGCAATTCAAAAACATGTTGAGAGTCAGAGAAACTTATGCATAGAACATAACATATATGACACTGAAGCTTGATCTAAATCGGTATATGGAGGATCAATGGCTGAGATGCCCCTCGCGGTTCAAAAATGATCCAATATATCCCCGTTATTTTTGGATTATTTGATAACATTTATTTTAAATAGAGAAAATGAGTAGATATCGATTATGCCCTTACAAACTTAACAAAATTACTGACCCAACCAAGAAAAATCCACCCAAACCCTAATCCGCCCATATATCGCGGATCCTAAATTGGATCTAACTGTTAAAAACCGCATAAAATCACCCTTCATCTTCCCAATCGATCAAAAATAAATTAGGGCAAAAAAATTAAAAGAAAAAAGCGGACGAAACGACGATTGATCCTAGTTCGTCGGGACCACTACGAGCAGTTACTAAGAAAAACTAAGTCAAACTATCTAACTCTCACCACAGCAATCGATTTGTAGGCGAATCAGAGAAGGTATGTGTCATAATCTTGTCGGTTTTGTGAGATGGATGTAGATATAGATTCTATTGTAAACGATTTGGATTGATCATGTAGGCATATGGCGCGTATAAAGAGGCCGAATTATGATTTAACTGATGAGGTTCCACCGGAGGTTCGAAGATCTAAGAGAACCTCTCAGGTGGTCTATGAAGACTCGGACCCGGAATCTTCAGAGAACGAAGAAGCAGGAGGCAACGATGGAGGCGACGGAAGCGGCCGAACCGTCACGGACGACGGCGCATCCGATTCTTCAATGGTATGTACCCGAACCATTGTTACTTGGTTTTCGAGTTTGAAAGAATTCGTTGGTTTTAGGTATCGAGTTTGCTTAAAGTACTTTCGTTTTGGGTGATTGATTGTATAGCGAGTCTTTGTTTCTAATTTAGAATTTAGGCTATCAGGTTTTCATTTTCGTTGATTATTGATTGTTTGTTTCGAATTAGTAATATTCTGAGTTTTTAGTAAAACTGGTAAAACTGGTAAAACTAGGGTCATTTCGTATGTTAAGAATTTCTGGAAAAAAAAGTAATACTTGGTACAACTATGTTGCAGGGAACCGAGCCAATGCTTCCGATGGAGATGTACTTCCAGCCAACGGAGTACGTGAAATAGATCATGTTGTATACAAGGTGTTATACCTCGAAAGCAGTGGATTTACTGCTAAGTGGATTAAAGTATCCACTTAGACCAGAGGAGAAGAGTTGGTTTGTGGATCACCCCCAATTCAAACATTTCTTCCACATGCACAAGGACTCAAACCACAAGTTAATGGGGATGTGGTTGCTGATTCTTCGAACGGCGGTTACAGAGAGGAAAAAGGAAGCCTGGTTCATTGTGAATGGCGTGCCCATTCGGTATGGTCTACGTGAACACGCCCTCATCTCCAGTTTAAACTGTCGCAGCTATCCTCCTAACTATTCGGAAATGGGCAGTATGGAGTTCGTAGAGAAGCACTTTGGGGCGGGGAAAAAAGTAAGATACTCAAATGTGAAAGAAAAGCTGGAGAATATGAAATATTCTCCAGATCGGTTAAGGATGGCCATCCTTTTCTTTCTATCAAGCGTTATTATTGGGCAGTCTAAGACAGGAGGTGATGCTACTTGTGTGGAGCGGTTCTTTCAACGAGCAGTCAGTGATCTGCATTTGTGTAGGACATTTCCCTGGGGAAGATTGTCTTTTGATAACAATATGGAAGAGATCCAGCATATTGTGGATCATTTTAAAGGGGTTGTTAGCGGATCAAATTGGACTTATCCAAGCTTATGCATTCCTTTGGAGGTAAATATGAATATATGTAGTACTTGTATTTCCATAGATTTGAAGCTAACTCGAAATATATGTGGCATATGTAGCTTCTAGCGTTTGAAGCAATTCCATCACTGAAGAAGAAATTCCGAGAAGTTGTTCCATCTGCGAAGAAAACTTGTCCGAGGATATGCAAGAGCAAGTTCAAAAAAAAGCACCATGAAAGGATTTTCTCTCGAGAAAATAAATGAAGCACTTGGTACAACTAAGGTCAGTAATACTTTTAAATTCAAACGTTTTAAATTTGCACACTTTTAATTTATTTATGATTGGAATTGCACTATTTGTTTATATCCACAGGAGATTGATAGCATCTTGGTCCCTTACAATGAGGAAGAAGCTTTTGTGGCTCGAGTGACTGAAGAAGATGACGATGATGATGTCGATGATGCTGTTGTTCATAGTTGGTTGAAGTGTATTAAAGATGAAGACAAGCCGGTCTGTTTTGAACAGATGTACGAAGAAGACGTGGCCGCCCGACTAGAAGAGCAGCCCGCGACCGCCGCGAATACCGCCAATGCCTCCACTAGTTCCGTCTCTGACTTGGTTGAGGTCGTACAGAGGCTGAAGATGGAAATGGAGAGTAGGTTCAAGAAGATGAATGACAAGTTTGCTGGGTTCGATACAAGACTTGCAGCAGTGGAAGGCTATGTGAAAGAGCAATTAGATGCTCGAAGCATGTATGAGGACGTCAATTATGATGATTACATTCCTCGTTCTAATGTGAATAACAATGATAGAGCGGAATGAGCAGAGGTAAGATTTGGTTGACTTAGAATTAAAGGAAAAAGTCATACTATGTAACACTAAGTACAATTGTGTGTTTTGCAGGGAACCGAGCCAATGAATGAAGCAGATAAGAGAGCAGAAGAGGTGGTCCCGGAAGCAGATAAGGGAGCCGAAGAGGTGGCAGATGGAGAGAAAATAGCAGAGGTAAAATTTGGTTGACTTAGACCTCTAAACGGAAAAGTAATACTATGTAACACTAAGTACAACTTTGTGTTTTGCAGGGAGAAGAGCAAGAGCAAGAAGCAGAGGTGGCGGAAGCAGATGAGGGAGCAGAGAAGGAGGCGGAGACAGGCGTTGAGGAACAAGAGAAGGAGGCATAGAAAGAGGTGGAGAAGGAGACAAGCGTTGAGGAACAAGAGAAGGAGGCAGAGAAGGAGGCGGAGAAGGAGACAAGAGTTGAGGAATGATATATCATGGTTTTTATGGTTTTTAACCATGATATAAATCCTTTTTATTGAGTCTTTTTGGTCTTTTTAGAGTCTTAGAAGAGTCTTTGCAGGTTATAGCATGTCTGGAGCATAATTGGAGATATTGGAGCCTTTTGGAGCTTTCTGAGTTGAAGCCACGAAGTACTTAGCTCGAAGAAGAAAAGTATGCATATGGGTGACGCTCGTCACCCAGAAAGGAAGGGGTCGTGGCCTGTTTTAAAAAGATTGGGAAGAAATTGCAGTTTTGGCCCAGAAGTTCTAGTTTTTGCAAAAAGGCCCCAGATCGTGTTTTAGCTTGTATATTAGGTTTTTCAGCCATTCTTTTGGCAGATATCTTGTATCTTATTATTTTTGAGAGCTTTAGAGAGAGATTTGTAGAAGAGCTTTTGGAGAGACAAATCAGACTCCTTCAGAGCAGATTTTGAACTCCTTTATTTCTACTTCTTATTTCTTTTATGCAATCTATTCTTTTCATGATGTTTTCTCAAATCACCATGTCTGAGTAGTTTGTTAGTTAAGTTAGGGCTTTTCAAAGGTTGAAGAAGAGTTTGTAGAATTGCTAAAAACTTCTAGGAAATTCATTGGTTCTTCATCTGTGCTTGCATTCATATCGATTTCTTAGACACATCATCTGGATTTCGAAACCCTAGGTTGTTTGATAGATGTGAGAGCATTATTAATCACCTGAACTAGTATTAGATGAGCAAAACGCCCTAGTACAAAGAGATTTGGCTTAGGAGTTTTGTGAACAATTGAACCTGATCATTACTGCATGTTTAGGTTGTTAGGGTTTGCAAAGAGATTTGAAACTCTGTGATTTAGACGTAGATAACTTCTGCAATGAGAATTGATTAG